TCGAATTCATAGGGAATACATAAATAGTATCTTCAAAAATATTATCGAACATATCGTATAAAATATGTACGAATTAGAGGAAAATATTAGCTGAAAGAGAATTGGGTTAGATCGAGAAGTCTTTCTAAATGGATTTCTTATGGATTCAGATGTAACTGTCTTACCCGCAGCAAGGGCATCAAATAACCCATAAGTATGAACGAATATCTAAAAAGCTAAGAGAGTTGAGTTAGGTTTTATTGAATCGTCTTTCCGTAATACCCTATCTCAAGGCTTAAAATAACTCGACAAATATCAATTAATATCTAAAAAAAACGTAAAGAGTTAGGTTATATAGAGAGATCTTTATAAAGATTATATAATGGATTAAGGCACAATTGTGATGCCCTATGCAATGCCCTATGAAATATGTCCGTACTAGTATTGCCTTTCTTTTTTGGAGATTATATTGTGGATTCAGACATAGTCGTAATACCCTCTAAATAGAGATAAAATAAGCCTAAAATGATATGCCAGAATGCAATACGAATATCCATAAGGCTGAAACAGTAAGGTTATATCGAGTAATCAGATGATATTAAGTTCATAATACCCTTTGCATAGAATAACCCGAAAACATAAATATGCCAAAACGCGCCGCCAGATGGCGTGTGTGGGGCTGGAAATCTGAAAATGGGAATTTCCTGCGTTAAAACGCTTAATTTATTAATGAGATTTATTAATAGGTTCGTTGCCAGGTGAAAGCTTAAGAGGTCGCCACGAGGTAGGGCCTGGCGTGGCTCTAGGACTTAAGAATTAGGCAACCGCCACTGGGCGGGGCAAGTGGTGCTTCAGTTCTTTGTATACGCCGCGTGGTTATTGTAATTAAACTGAAAATTATGCGCCCTTTTTGTGCACCTGAAATATGTGCGTGTGGTAACGCACACCCCCCTCTCCCTCCTCCGTCCCCTTCCCACACCCAACCTACCACGCACGCCACTTGGAGTTTCGTTTGGCCCTGCGCCTGGGTGGTGCGTCAGGTGGGTGACGACCGCCTCCCCCCGAATATTTGTTGCCTGTTGTTTGGTCTGCTGAATGGTTGCTCTGTTGGGGCGCGGCGGCGGGGGGAGTGGAGCGAGGAAAACAGACGCCAGCGTCGGAGACGCATAAAACAAACGGGAGACAAGATAATGGGCGTGTTATGCGGCTACACGAGGCATATGCCACATTAGCGGAGATGTACGAGGAGCCACGTCGCACGTCGCACGCCCAATTAAATGGCCACCTGATGCTCTCTCAATGACGCATGACGCACTGCACCTGGTCAAAATGGAAGCGCTTCATCCGTGAAATGCGCCTGCAAGTGGAGCCTTAAAGGATATGCTCCCAAAAAAAAGTTACGGACGAAGCAGAAAGTTTTCCAGGCACCATTTCATTGGAGTTCCATTGGAGGTAAATATACCTCCCTACAATAGTCCAGCAAAAACTACTTAATCTTCACATTCGTCGTGAATGTGACCGAAGTGTAAAGAAAGTATCTCGAAATCAATCCTTGAGAATCGTAATATAGTCCGAAATAGACTTCCCGAAGAATTCAGTTTAATACTGGAAGAATCTCACTATTGTACCAAAAGACTTTTGATAACATTTCTGAAAATTCCTTAAAAAAAATTAAAATTATATCTAATATTAATTAACTTGAATTAAGTAAGGGAATATTTTTGTGTTAAACGAGGTCTAAGAAGTGTCTACTATATACCCAGAATTCTAGAGACTATATGAGGAACTTGAAAGTTTACCAGATAGGTAAGAAGAGGAATCGCTTCGGATGATTAACAGCCCATCTGGGACACCCTGGCTAGCTAATAATACTAGTTGGATGTAGAAATATCTCTTTATAGAGCCTAGCAGGAGAGCCTGCTGAGAGAGAGTCTCTTCAAGTCTGATATGCCATAACAGATACTTTCCGAGGAAAAAGTTGGTTGGACGACTTTTGAATAGGGGCCCGTCGTTAAGGACGCGTGTTGTGTGATAATGTTTATTTGATTAGTTTTTTAATTGCATTCGGAATATTCAAGTCCATATGCTGATAATTTTTTATTGTGCAACTTTGACATAACTGTACCTGGGGTTCATTTTGCTATCTAGCTCGAAGATTCGTTCACCTCCGCTGCGCACTGCATCTACAGTGTCTACCCTCCGCCCGCCACGCCTCTATCACCCATTATAACCCCTCTCACCACCTTTGGCAGATAAGACCCGACTTAATCGCCAACTTACGGCGCTGGCGGCTGATTAGTCGAGTGCACGTAACGCCTCAGACGTGCCACGCCCCCACAAACAGCGTCTGCCTGCTCAAGTGTAAATCCCACCCACTCAGAGCTGCGCCCTTCCCAATAAATTTAACGTTAATTATCGTTTTATTGCGGCAATAAACCAAAACAACAGCAACATAAGATGCACGAGAAGAAGGGGGAGAAGAAGAAGCAGCAGCCGCTGCTGCTGCCGGCAATGCTAACGGCATCTCAAGCTATGAGGCCATCCTCTCACTCACATGCATAGCCAAAGCTTGGCTCAGCTGTGAGCGCTGCTGATCAAGATGCGAGTGGCAACGGCCTCTCTCTCTCTCTCTCCCTCCCTTTGATTTATTGTTACTGTCCCGGGGACAATAAACAAAAACAACAGCAGCATAAGATGTAGGAGAAGAAAAAGAGGAAGAAGGAGAAGCAGCTGCTGCTGCCGGCAACGCTTACGGCATCTCAAGCTGTGATGCCACCCTCTCACTCACATGCATAGCCCAAGCTCGGCTCAGCTGTGAGAGCTGCTGATCAAGATCCGAGTGACAACGGTCTCTCTCTCTCTCGGTCTCTTCTATTTATTTAGTAGTTGTTGCTGTTGTTGTCAGCTTTTGTTATTTGATTATTTGTTTGCGTTTTAAATTTTTTGATTCATTTGCTTACGCACACACATTAAAATGTTAGAATACTCACACACACACAGAAAGATGCACTCACTCACAAGTATTTGCTTATTTGTCACTTAAATAAAATAAAATACAATTAAATACCTTTTAGCGGCTAAGCGGTCATGTGCGAGGGTGAGCATAGACAGAGCGCAAGTGAGAGCGAGCGAGGGTTAGCCAAAGCTTTGCTGCTTCCTTTTTGTTGTGGCCGCGACCGCGGCTGCTGCTGCTGCAACCCTCCACTGATGAGGCGGCTGTTTGCCGGTGCGGCTGCTGCTGAGAGCGATATACACACAGCTCAAGAGAGAGAGAGAGAGAGAGAGAGAGAGACCGAGAACAGCAGCGGGCGCTGCGCTCTGTTATGAAGTAATAACGATGAAAAAATTGCCACTCAGCTACTCGCACGCACACACACACACGCGCGCACACACACAACACTTTGTGTTAATGTTGTTGTTGTTATTATTTTAATGAGAATCGGTTTTATGTTTTACGTACACAGCAGCCGCCGCCAAAAAGCAAAAACAAAACCAAATGCAAAAACAAAAGTGGTTCACAGTTTTTGTATTGGCTTCTGATTGGCAAATTTTTCGCACTATTTCTTCTTGCCGAACACACGCGATTCTTTGATTTAAATTCAATTTTTGAGAACTAGTGAAAGGTGTTTTATTCAGCGACGCCGCGTCGCCAAATATTCTACTTGTACGTATTGAGCGCACCTTTGCTGCGCCTAAAGAAACAATAACAGTTCTCAAATTCAAGAAACTGAAGCCACCACGCGACGACGACGGCGACGAGACGTCCGACCACGGCAAAAGTTTCTCGCGTTTTGAGAGTTTGAAAATAAACCTATGGCAAAATAAGCAGGCAGACAACGTGATTGTATGAGTGTCTCGGCCATGAAATACCCTGTAAGCGAAATTTATTTTATATTATTGTACATAATATATATCACTTTTTATGTGCATATGTTGTTAATTTTAATTCATACATTCATATTTTGTGCTTTTTTAAATAACAACAAGCAGAACATATATGATTGGATGATAATTTACTTACTTTTAGGACAACTAATAAGCTCTGTATGATTCTCACTCACAGGGTGCAATAAGCAAATATATGTGACAGAGAGAGCGTGCGCAGAGCGCAACAGCTGCAGGGAGCGCAACATTATTCTACAGATTTCTAACAGAGCGTTGAGATCAGTTGTGAAAATACCAAAAACGATTTTAATTGAAAAATAAAAAAAAGGACAATTCACACCATTTTAAAATGAACAAGAACAAGATGTTGCGCAAATGAAACAAAACAAAACGGAATAATAAACACTTACTCAGTGTGGCTGTACACTGCAAAGAGTATAATGACCAAAAGCTCTCCGAGCTGGTCACCCTGCACGGCGTGCGGCCGCTTACAGAAAGCTGTTAGCTACATACAGTGTTGGGTAATATAAAACAGAATGGCGCGAGATTTGAATTGTGTGTTTTTCTGAAAGCAAGCAAGAGTTACTTAAATACATACAAATTTCTTAACTAAAACAGTTTCAAGCAGAAAAAATTAATTACATATTTTTTTTGTATGTATATATTCCATATATTTTGCATATATATAATAATATATGTATATTTGTTGGTTTTTTACACATTAAAAATGATGATGCTTGTCAACAAAAACAATTTGTGGTACTTATGGTAGAATTCATAGATAAATTTTCCTTGCATAATTGTGTCGAAAACTCGATAAGAACTCTTTGATTCTGTGTGCTAAATGTATGTGTGTTCTTTTGCTTTGTATTTTTGCCACTTTGCTCAAAATAATACGAAACTTGTGCACAATTTCTGGGCTAAATCGTTTATCGATATCGTTTTTTGTTTACTTCTTTTATTAACTAGTCGTTAAATTGCATAGTTAATTGCGTTAGATCGATAGATCAATTGATCGAGAATTATGCTTTTGTAAAAATAATATGTACAAAAGGCAGCGTCTGCTGCGCTCAACTTAAATAATTAAAGTAATTAGAAGTATTTAAAGCAACTTAAACTTAATTGTTAAGAGTTGGTTGGTTGGTTGGTTTGTTTATTATTTATCGATTGCAGCTAAAAACTATCGAGGGCTTTATCCTTAAAACACACACATAATCGATATACATATATGTAAATGTATATTTTAATATATATATTAATTTAGTTAGCTTTCGTTATGTTTTTCTTGTATCTTTTTTTTTTTTACTCTTGTAATTGGTTATTAATTGCTGATGAGGTGTTTGTGATGAATTAAACGAGCGTCACAGGGTTGCCAGGTGCGACTACGAAAACGGTGTAGCCAGATTTTGCGAAACGCCACACAAAACTTTGCTACTAATTCGATATTTCATTTAATTAAATCGTGTTGATTATTGTGGAATAATTTGTATGCAGCTATTACGTGAACGTTTAACCTGTAACTGTAACTCTAACTGTAAATGTTATTGTAACTGTAACTGTAACTGTGATGTACGCTAATCGATAGCTCTCTCTCTCTCTCTCTCTCTCTCTCTCTCTCTCTCTCCGTTCGTCTCTCTCTTTCTACTTATGATAAGGATTAGTTTTACGTCTGTGGGAAATTTTGGGATTAGGGTTAACATTGCGTTAAATATGCTTAAAGACTTATAGACTATATATTTGGTGTAACTTTTTGAGTTTTGTGTTCTGTGTTCTCTTCTTCTTCTGCTTCTTCTTCTTTTTCTTGTTTTTGTTTAGTTTGTAACTGTTATACATATATCTTTATATAGTATATATCTACTAACGGTAATAATAATTCTGTCCCCCGCTCGACCACAACTTAAGCTCAATCTCCGCGTTCCCAACGATCTCTTCGAGTTCCCAACAGCTATGCAAACTAAATATAATACAGGGGCTGCCCCGACGCTTCCAAGGTGTTAGACACGGCACAGTGGTTCCTTCTGCTCCTTCAGCTCCTTCTTCCTCTCTGCTTTCCCTCAGCTCTCAAATGGGGGGATCCTTTTTTTTCGCGTTAGACGCTTAGATGGGCGATATGGAGAGCGGCGCCGCGGCCGTATCCGGCATATATTCCTTGAGGAGATCCCGGAGCCGGAGGATTTCGCGTCCTGCTGCCGCCAGATCGCCCTGCAGGGACATTTCCCGTTCGCGCAATCGCTTTATGTCGCGTTGGCAGGTCTGTAAAAGATGATACAACAATTAGTGGACAGTTCCAGCTCCTGCTCCGCCCAGTCGCTACTTACCACATTCTGACGCAGCAGATCCAGCTTGTCGCACTTGAGCCGCGTGACCTCCTGGCGCAGGTTCTCGATCATCATGATGGTCTCGTTGCTGGGCGAGCTGCCCATGATGGTGCCCTGCACCCCCTCCAGGCACAGCGAGCACGCCTTGGTGGTCGCCTCCGCGGAGCTCATGCTCTCCAGGCCCGTGTCGCTGTCTATGTAGGCGGCGCCGCCGTCCAGGTGACCCATCATTGGGTCCAGGTCGACGCTGTTCAGGCTCGAGTCATCGCTCGTTTCGGACATGGTTGCCACGGCCACGCCTACAATGCCGCCATTCTGTGCAGCGCTGACCGCAACGGCAGCCACTCCGCCCCCGCCGCCGCCGGCTCCAGCGGAACCTCCTCCATTTTGTTGTTGGGCAACGTTCGCAGCGGTTGGATGCGCACTGTTGTTGTTGTTGTTGTTGCTGTGGGTGTTGTTGGCCGGGCGGGAGGTGATGTCCGGCGAGGAGGATGTGGACTCATTCGAGGATTTTGACTTGGAGGACGACTTAGAGGCCGTGCGACTGCAGGTCTGCAAAGAGAGAAAATGGGGATTAGCAAAAGTCCGGCTGCGCGGCCTGGTCCGTTCCGACTTACGTTCAGATTGGGCGTTTGGGTCTCGGGCTGTGGCTCCTTCTTGGAGTTGAGTGTGCCCACCTTGGTGTTCACACTGAACTTGTCCGGATGCGAGCCGTTGCCCGTGTCCACGCTCTGGGAGCGCACCCGCATGATGAGCGCCTTCTTGACGGTGTCTATGAAGCGGGTGCCAGCATTGCCGCCGCCGCCGCCGCTGCCGGTGCTCTCGGACTTGGGTGTCTCGGGTGTGGGGCTGCCGGCAAGGGTTTGCGAGAGATCGGCGCCGAGGAAATCACGAGTCTTCTCCTTCAGCTCCTCGACCAGGTTCTGCAGCAGGGAGGTGCGCGTGCGCAGCTCCAGCTTGGCAAACTTGTCGGCCTTATAGCAGGCATTCTCCGCATTGATCAGCTTGGTCAGGAGGAACTCCTTGAACTCCTGGCCCTTGCGGAACACCGCCGGGCTGGGCAGCGTCGGCCCAAAGAAGGGCACATCGTCCCGTGCCGTGACCGAGACCTTGTAGCGGGTGTGCGGCGTGTTCGGCTCCAGCGGCTGGACCACAATGAAGGCGTGCAGAAAGTGGCTGGCGATCATGTCCGGGGAGAAGGGCGTGTTGGTCTCCTGGAACACAATGGCCACTATGTCGTTGCCAATGTGACGCTTGCGCTGCAGCTGCTGCGGATCGCCCTCGGTGTGTGGCAGCAGCGTGGACACATGGAACATGACCTCGCGCTCCTTGAAGACCTCGTAGACGGCGGTGTCGCCGGTGTGTCCGTTCTGTATGTCGAGGCCACCGCGATAGCCCTTATGCTCCTTGAGCCGTATGCGCTGGCCGAGCACATCGAGGAACTCCTCGAAGGCGGGCGAGGTCTGCTGATTGCCGAAGAGCTCCTCCTCGGTGGTCTGGCCGTATCTTTGGTACAGCACGCCGAACTTGAAGTGGGAGACCAGCACATGCTCATCGTAGACGCTGATCAGCTGCGAGGCCTTCGGGCAGAGCACCGGCATAAAGTTGTCCACCTGAATCTGTTCGTTCAGCAGCCGGACCATCTTGGCCGGACTCGGCTGGGCGCCCAGGCACGAGACGGGAATCAGCTCGTGCATGGTGCCTGTGCGCAGGCGCAACAGAATGCGCATGTGCTCCTGGTTGGCGACGTTCTCCGTCTTGATCGAGATGAGCACCGGGCCCAGCTGGTCGTCGTGGCCGACCAGGTTGGAGTGCTCGCGCGCCGCATAGAAGCGCCTGTAGCACTTGGCCGTGTCGTCTGTCTCGAACTTGGCCATCCAGGTGGTCTGCGGCAGCTGCGGATTGCCGCGCGCATCGTAGCTGCACTCGTGCTCGGTGCCGTCCAGCCAGTAGCCGCCGTGCAGGGGCAGCAGGATCATCGGGTAGGGCGCCGACTTGGCCAGCGCATCCTCCAGCAGGCGCTGCGAGGCGGGTATGGCCGACACGATCGACGAGTTCGACGACACGGACGACTGCGACTGGTAATGGTGTCCGTTCGAGAGCAGCTGGCCGCCCGTTGCGCTTACCACGCCGCTCAGCTGCGGCGACGCTGGCGTTGAGCTCGAGGCGGAGCCCGAGACGGAGCTGCTCGAGTGGTTCATCGAGTGCCGCAGCGTGGCGCGCGAGCCCGAATGCTGGAGTCCTCCATTGTGCCCATGGCCATGTGCATGGCCATCGTGTGGTGAATGCGGCTGTGGCACGCGCTCCTCGCTCGCATTGCTGCCGCGATGATGCTGCAAGAGGAGAGAGAAAGAGAGAGAGGTTAGACCAAGTCTACAAATTACAGGGTATCAGCAGCAGCAGCAGCAGCCGGCACTGGCTTATGTGTGGGCAGAGCGGCGCCTCGACAAGCCGCATGGCTGCATTATAATTTCATGCAATTATCGTCGGAGGCGCCTCCAGGGTATGGCGCGGCACTATGCAAATGTGTGTGTGTGTGTGTGTGCGTGTGTGTGCGGGGATTCAGATGGATTGGCTAATGGCAGGGCCAGGCCAGCTCCATGTCGTTGTGCTGGCGCTGCCTTCCAATTTGTTGGCTCTAAGCAAATATGCGCGCATGTGGGCGACTTTTGTGTTGGGTTCGGATTACGTGCCGGGTTTTCAGCTAGCGTCGGGAGCTGCAATTTTGGATAATATAAAGCCAACATTCTGATTTGACATGCACACATCCCTACGCTTAGCTCCAGCCCAGCCCAATCCAATCCTAGCCCAACCACCCAACACTTGGGTGCGGCTCGCTATTAAAAAGTTCTTTTATTTCTGTCTGTTTGGCCAGCTGCAATTGCAATTTCTGTAGCTGCCTGGCTTGCAGCCAAATGTGGCACATAACGGGTTCGACTGGGGTGCAACAAACACAACAACAACAACAAAGACGAAGCATAGATTGGGGCTTGGGGTTAGGTCTTTTCGGGTTCATCGATAGTTCGTGCCTTGATTTAATAGTCTGCCAGCTGCCAAGTGCAACTGCCATTCAATAATGTGCTTGAAGACCCGCCGCTTGACCGAGTCATTAGGGCTGAAACGAGGCGGGGTTTAATATGGGAATCCTTGCTAGGAGTCGAATAAATAAATATTCGAGTTGGGGTTAGACCCAAGGCTGGGAAGAATGCTTGGAAAGCATTGAACAATATATGCTGGGAAGTAAGGCTAAGCGAGAAATTGTCGATATTATTTATGGGTTCTGTCTAATGCAGTGCGACACTCGCTGGTTCAAACTCTCAAGATCTCGACTACGCAGTTGAGAAAGTCTCATCTATTAGCTAACAAATTGTTGCTACTATCCAAAATTATATCAACCTGGTCATACTTAGGCTAAGCCCATCAGCCAGGTGATGTTATTGGCGAATCGCTTTGCCATCTTCCAGGCGAGAAGCCAGGCTATAACCTATGGAAGATAGGAGATCGGCTAGAGGCAACAGAGATCGGGATGGCATATGTCATAGCATCAAGGCATTAAATCAAAACATAATTAATAATCGATATATTTATCGATAGTTACACATAAGCCATAAAATGTCTTCGCTCTAGCTCCAATAAAATAATGTCTCAGTCTGTCATGCATTATTCAAGCCGAATGGGTATAGGGCATATTAAAAAGCTTGTGAGATGGTTTTTATGGGCGACCCTCAAAATGCGCCCGATAACCGAGGTCAACCCGTCGATTTAGTGCATTTCCACACGGCATTTATGCAATGATTTTTATTATTTTATTTTCAATGTTTTTTTGAGTGCAATTTAAATGCAGTTTACTGCACAATTTGTTGCCCCGCCGCTAATGAGTGTATTGTCATCTCGAATGTTCAATGATTCAAAGTATTCGTTCGGGTACTCACAAAATATTTGTGAATCGAATATGCAAATGTGGCACGACTCGCGTTGCCAGACATCGAATCGAGGAATATTAATAAATATATCTATTTGGTTGTTGCTGTAACTCGAGACGAGGCTAGGGCGGGAGTTGTCACAGAGAGAGGGGGGAGGGGGGACCCTGGGCAAGGGCCAAGGCCCGACTGGGTTTCGGGCTCTGTCGTCACACGCTTAGTTGGCTTCATTTGCGGCTCTCTCCCTTCCCCCCTCTCTCTGTCTGCATTCACCCCTCCGAGTGTTACGAGCAGATAAATAGATGGATAAACAGTTCCCGACATTTAGACGCTGTTTGTCTAGCTTATTGGTTAGCCATCAGAAGGGGGAGGGGGAGGGGGTTGGTCGCATGACTCATCAGGCAATGACCAAAACTTAATTTCCTTTGCTGCCAGGGGCCACTCCTGGCGGGTATGGGAAATCGTTTGGTTAATTGATTCAGGCAATGTGTCAAGATATGTTGAGTCTAATTTGATGAGATTTCAACTATAGACTGAGGGGATGGGTGGGGGGCGGTTGAAGTTGTCTGCCTTTTGTCTAATTAAAGTCACATTGGAAGGCAAAAGCTGTGTCCAATCGAGAGTGGAGGAGAGTTGAGACAAGCCGAGAAGTAGTTGCCACTCAAGTATTAAGAACACAACCGGAAGAACTAAAAAAACGAGCACGCCGAAGAGTGAATACTCTATAAATAACTGTATGCTGATAGTAACCAAATCATCATCCTATCCACTCGATGGTTACACAAACACGATAGTGTAAAAACGAGAATACATATATATACATATGTACATATATACATACATACATACATGTCACATACATAGGCACACATACTTTATGGGCACGGCGAAGTCTTCTTCTACAACATTGTTAGAGTACCTTTTACAAGGGCATAAAATAACTAAAACATAATGAATGTAAGTGGAATGAGTGAAGAGTAGGGAAGAGTGTGAGAGGGGGAGGGGGGGGGGCAGCATGGAAAGCATAACAAATACCGAGAATAGGCAAAAGCGCGACCTAATACAGCAGAGGAGACAAACAACTGTACACACACACACACACACACACACGATGATAATTATGATGATCTCGCAATGCACATTATGATGTTTATGGCGCTGTGCCGATTCTTGAGAACTTAAGCGGATTACAGTGAGAGAGAGAGAGAGAGGGAGAGAGGGCAAGAGTGACGGGGAGAGAGGAAAGTGTTACAAACGCAAAAGCATGAAGACATGAGCAAATAAGAAGAAGACGCAGTTGCAGACGCAGCTTTGACTTTCGAGGTTAGTGGGGTAGAGGCTGTGGCAGGGGTAGAGCCGGCCAGGGGGAAGGTGTGATGCAGACAACCCTTGAGCAGAGCAGGGCGCAGACTGCATTGAACGGGCCATAAAAAAGTGTAGCCGATTTGCATAAGTCGAAGGGCAGGCAGTCCCTGAATAATGGCCCCCCTCCCCCACTTCACCGCCCTCTCCCCTTCACACAAAAGTCCTGTAAGACACTTTGTTTGTGTTGCGATTGTCGTTGTTGCTGTTGGCTCAAGTGCAGGGCCCCCGTCATTAAAAATGTGCATTTTGCATGGGGGCAGCGCGCTGCGGGGGCGTTAAAAAATCTCTTTTGCCAGGCACAAAATGAAAACAAAGAGCAGGCAGAGGCGTGCGAGAAGGGGTGCGCTGTGTAGGGCAGGGGAATGGGGTACTCTGAAAACAAAGCACAGGAAGCTGACTTGACTTGACTGCCGCCAGCTGGGGCGACACAGTTTGACAGGCTGCAGCGCTTGTCAAACCCTAGGCTTTCAGCACATATGCCACGCACATTGTGCGGCAGTTGGTAGAAAGTGTGGCACATGGATTCTTGGCGAAGCGTTAAAAGAGTTGCGAGCGAAAAAGAACTCAAGTGGTTGATATATTCAGGCGATATACATATGCACATATACGCGAGGGCCAAGCACGTGCAAAGTGCCTAGACCCAAGTCCCAGCCCAGACGACTTCGTGGCCAGAGCTGGACTTGGCCTCACTTTAAAGCCAAATTCCACCCACACACACGCACACACACACACGCTTGACATGATTTATGCGCTGCCTGTGACAAACATGTTGCAAGCGAGTTGTTCTTGTTGCTGCCACCGTCTCCAGCGTGGCATAAAATGATAAATAATATATATATAAAATAAATATATATATATACATGCATACATACACCTATTTTATATCCACGTATATCCACAATATATCAAATCAAACTCGCGTAAATCATCGTGAGAGCAAACAAATCAAATCTGTGCTTGTCAAACTGTCAGCGCAGCTCAAACTAAACTGAAGAGCTTTTAAAATAAAATTTGTCGAACTTGAAGGGAAATTTTGTGATTTAATCAAAAACAGAATTCTTAACCAATAACTTAGAAAACTCTTATATCAAGTTAAGTTAAAGGTCAGATATTATAAAGATCCGGACTGCATAACCAAAATAAAAAGTCGCTGGTTCGGTGTAAGATTCGCACCAATTTCTTGCTTTTCGGTTCGTTTCGTGACGTTTCGTTTCACTTGACTCAAACCTTGCTTTGGCAAATACTTTACAAATTTTAATGAAAACAAGTTATTGTAAGAAATATTGTAAGCTAAATGAAAGGTTGGAGCCCAAGAATGTAAACTATGTTGCCGGTACATTTTCCTATAAGAAATAACAAAATTCACATTCGCATGAAAAAATAAAATCGCAGAATCTAAACTATGTAAATTTAAGAAATGTTACGCATAGTGTAATCAGGCCTTCAAATATATTCACTTCGACTTCGACTACAAGCAATACCATATATTTATATAGACTAAAAACTATTTCTTATAACTTTATAATATACTTGGCCAATCAAATCGAATACAGTTTGAGCAGCTCACGTAGCTGGAGGGGGCGTTTTAAGCAGCCGTTGGCTATAAGACATAAAAAACAACTTTGTTTATTCAGTTTGTTTAACGTTTATCGAACACCAAACAGTGACCACTTAAGGCAACTTGTCGCATTTGTTGTTGCTGTTGTTGTTGTTGCTTTTTGTGGTGTGCGACAATTTCATTAGCCAAAAAAGCGAAAGGCGCCCTCCGAAAATGGTGAACAAAGCTGAATTGAATTTGACGACTTATGCAAGTCGCTGATTGATTTTCAAATGTTATAATTACTTAATAAACAATTTGTTTGCTTTGGATGCGGGTCTAAAAATAACTAGCTGCCGCTGCTGGCATAAAATTAAAATTATAAATTTTAATTTACATTTTTGCTCTTCTCTTATTTTTTTTCTTTCAGTTTATTAAATTGCCTGCAACGCGTTGCATGTCACAACTTTGACCCAATTTGTGCGCAGTGAACCCATCACAAAATTTGCAT